GGCCTGTAGTGCGTTTCTTCAAAATGCTGCGGAAAGGTTAGGTGTGAACCTAGACTAACAGGTGGAGGCCACTGACATTTTTTTCCCCTACTCCTCTTTTCTGGCTGTTTTTCACTTGTTTTGCATTTGGCTAGGGTCAGTGTTACTACTGGTAGCATGAGGCGATACCTGGACCCTACAGAGGTTGCACAGGCAGTCCAACTCCTCCAGGATGGCACATCAATACATGCCATTGCTAGAAGGTTTTGCTGTTTCTCCCAGCACAGTCTCAAGAACATAGAGGAGATTCCAGGAGACAGGCAGTTACTCTATGAGAGCTGGACAGGGCCATAGAAGGTCCTTGACCCATCAGCAGGACCGGTATCTGCTCCTTTGTGCAAGGAGGAACAGGATAAGCACGACCAGAGCCCTACAAAATGACCTCCAGCAGGCCACTGGTGTGAATGTCTCTGACCAATCAGAAACTGACTTTATGAGGGTGGCCTGAGGGCCTGACATCCTCTAGTGGGCCCTGTGCTCACTGCCCAGCACCATAGAGCTCAATTGGCATTTGCCATTGAACACCAGATTTGGCCGGGCCGCCACTGGCACCCTGTGCTTTTCACAGATGAGAGCAGGTTCACCCTGAGCACATGTGACAGATATGAATGGGTCTGGAGAAGACGTGGAGAACATTATGCTGCCTGTAACATCGTTCAGAATGTCCATTTTGGTGGTGAGTCGGTGATTGTCTGGGGAGGCATATCCATGGAGGGATGCACAGACCTCTACAGGCTAGAAAATGATATCTTGACTGCCATTAGGTATCGGGATGAAATCCTTGGACCCATTGTCAGACCCTACACTGGTGCAGTGGGTCCTGGGTTCCTCCTGGTGCACGACAATGCCCGGCCTCATGTGGTGAGAGTATGCAGGTAGTTCCTGGAGGATGTAGGTATTGATACCATTAAATGGACCCCAGGCCCTACACCCTGACCTAAATAGAATAGAACACCTCTGGGATACCATATTTTGGTCCATCCGACACCGCCAGGTTGCACCTTGGACTGTCCAGGAGCTCAGTGATACCCTGGTCCAGATCTGGGAGGAAATACCCCAGGACACCATCTGTCATCTCATTAGGAGCATGCCCCGACGTTGTCAGGCATGCATACAAGCACGTGGGGCCCCTACAAACTACTGAGTACCATTTTGAGTTGCTGCAATGAAATTTCAGCAAAATGGACTAGCCTGCTGCATCATTTTTTCACTTTGATTTTCAGGGTGTCTTTGAATTCAGTCCTCTGTAGATTGATAATTTTAATTTCCATCAAACGATGGGGCATCCTTATGTTCCTAACACATTACCCAGTCAATATCAGTATAGATATCCAGTGTTCCTTTAATTTTTTTGAGCAGTGTATTAACCAAATATAAACTAACTGTATTAACAGACAGAGAAACATAAAAAAAAGAGACAGAGTTACAAACCTTCACAGTGATCACCAGCCTGCTTGCAGTAAGGGACTGAGTCTGAGAGGAACACTGGAAGGAGCTGCAACTCAGCTGCTACACTGGGCCCAGACACCTGGCATCTTCCTCTGTCCTTTCTTCCTCCCCCACTGCCGCCCCTGCCCCTCAGCTGAAGGATCATTCATGATGTGGTGGCGTCCCACACGATCAATCAACATCCGCTCCCCTCCCCCTGACCATTGTCTGCCCTCCTCCTCCTGTCACCTCCATGACCCGCCATCCTCCTAGGCTCGGCTCAACTTTGATGGCTCCTGCCAGAGTGCGGAGTCCAGACTCTCAATGAGAACAGGCGGCCTCCCAGCAATACACAGCTTCCCTCTCATACACATCGGGCCCCAGTCATCCTACTCACATAGGGTTAATGCTGCAACCAGAGCACAACCCCCCCTATTGATTGGCTCCAGTTGTGTAGAAGACGGCGGAGCTAGTGCTGGACATGCCCTTTCGTTCACTAGCCAGTGCCCTGTTACAGCTAGAGGATCATATGTGCCAGTTTGTATACTGGAGATGTACTGACCAATTCTCCGATCAGAGACTGCTGACCACCTGGGGTCCTGGCCTAATGTCATCACTTCCCATCATACGGGGAGCTTACACTTCACTGCTACATGGAATACTGTCATATATATATATATATACACTAAACGGTCATGTGTGTGGACAGGCTGTGAGACAATTGTGCAGAGTAAAGATACCATCATTCCTTGTGTATGAAGAATTCATGCAAGAGGTCCACAGAGAGAATTCATGCAAGCTACACAGAGAGAATGCCAGCCTGTGCTGTGCCCAGGCACCCCTATGTGGTAGTGCACCCTAGGCAGCTTCCTAGTTTGCCTTGTGGAAGCACCAGCCCTGCCTATGTTGGTGTTTCTGTGCATAGTTCTAACAGTTCTATAGTTACAAGTATTGATGTATACTGTTAAATAAATATATATATATATATAATAAATGTTAGCCTGTTTAATAATCACGCTTTCACAAAAATAGGTTCACTCTTTTCAACGACATTTCCAGGCTTGCCAACAAAGGCATTTACTATAGCACTTCACAAAAAACAATAGCGTGAAGGCACTTGTTAGGTTCCCTAGTCTGAGCACGCTCAGTCATGTCACTATTGAGACATTTGAACTAGGTGAAGGTAATGCCGGTTTGGATTTTCTGAAATATGTCACTTTTTACAGACAGATTTAGAATTCTTTTAAAGCAGTTATTCTTCAAAATGTCCAACATATGTATAGGAAGTATACATTGCTTGAGATCATGTCATTAAAAAGATTAGCATGCCTATCAGCATGTCTTTGGAGTGTGAGAGGAAACCATTACAGGAACAAGGAGAACTACAGGTAGATGGTACTGTGGTTGGGCTTTGAACCAGCAACCCTAGTATTGTCAGGCAGAACTGCTACCCATTTAGCCACTGTGCTGCCCAATTTATTAGATTTAAGGAGTTGTGGGGTCCACTAGATATTTCTCTGAGGAAGGGGGTTAGTCCTCCGAAACACGCCAGCTATGTCCGGTCATTCCTTTTATTTCATGAGGTTGGAGGGCTGACTTCTGAATTCTGTTACCTTGTTACGCTATCAGTTTTTTGGTTTGTAAGTGTATTTTGTATCTTTCATCTTTTAATGAATTGCTGGAGATAATGCACTAGGTATTTGCGTCCCTTTTTGTTGTTTGCCTTTTTATTAGCATACCTGTTTATTTCTGCCCTATATTCTCATGTGTTATTTTTTACAGAATATGTTTTATTTATTTGAATAATAGTATTGCTTATTTATATAAAAAAACTTTTTTTTAAGAAATTTAATGTGGAAAAATAACTATAAAATATTCACTGAAAAGTCACAATTAGTTTTTTATTTATAATACAGAAAACAAAATAAATGCTTTTTAAGAACCTAGACAATTATATAATATACAGGTAATAAGTAGGGATGCACCGATTTTTTTATCAGTGAGTACAAGTACTGATACTTTCGGTCAAGTACTTGCCAATACTGAGTACAATACTTTGCAGTGCAATTTGCGTCAATACAAAATGTACCGCATGCAATTTGGACAGGAATTGTATTCCTCTTCAAATCGCATGCTAATCTTTGCGGTGCAATTTGTATTGATGCAAATCGCACCGAAAAGCATCGGTTTCCGGTATCAGGAGCAATTTCAAAAGTACAAGAACTTGTGAAAATATTCAGTATGGACACCGATACTGATATCGGTATTGGTGCATCCCTAGTAATAAGATTAAAAATATTGTGAGCAATAAAAGAGTAGAGTATTTCACAGTTCATACATTGGTGACACATTCAACAACACAAACCCCACAGCCAGCTGATATCACATTATCGAACCAACAGCATGCAAAACCATACTGTACATTGGCTGATACAGTATTCACATGTTTTTGGGGATAAGGTAAATTGGGTCCAAAATAACATGCCTGCACAAAGGGCCTTAACATGAAAAGGAAAAGCCCAGTAGGAAGTGCTATGGGCTGGTATGAACAGCGGCAAAATACTGGCCATTATGTATTTATTTTATTTTAGTACACTATATTGTGTACTTACAGCGCAAAAGCAAACTATATAGAAGCAATACTAGAGTAAAAAAGTAAATAGAACAAACAAAGGACTTAAAGTAGTACTAAACCCAAAAACAAACATTTATTATATTGCTGCATACTAATTCTTAGATGTGGTGGATGCATTAGTTTTCTTTTTAGGCTTTCTTTCCCTCATTTTCACTAGGTGATCTGGTCAGTAAGTTTGTTGTTTTTCAATAGAACAAGCTCTCTGCAGATTTAGAAGTTACAGAGATGAGAAAAAAACCATTTACCACTGACAGGAGTGGTTACAATGATCAACTTTTATTTATTTATGTAAAACCTTTATCCAAAATAGAAAAAAAACTTTTGCTGTAACTGCATATAGGGTGAGAGCTGGAATTCCACTTCAGTTTGTTAATGTATATAAATCTGTTAATTAAGCTAACACTTCCCTCCCCCCAGACTGACAATGCTACTGTCCAAAGGTGCCCCTGTGCTCCTTCATCCAGAGTGGGAGCACTCTAATACAGGAGGTGTGTTACTGGCCAGATGACCAGGTGAAAACAGAGGGGGAAAAGCCCAAAAAAAAGAAAACTAAGACAGCCACCATATCTAGTGGTTGCTAAGATGCAATACATTTTTGGTTCAATACCCCTGTAAATGAAAATATTCACATTTTTACTTGTGAGTAGAAATTAGAGTGAATATTTAATTATTTTTGTTTCTATCACCATATCTCTGATGGACTTACAGTATGTTTTTTCAAAATGTTTTGATTTTTATAATCTAATGAAATATTTCAGTGTGTACTCCCAATCACATCATTCATTTTCAAATAACAAAATTTTGAAAAATAAATCCATGGTGTCCATGGTGTGACAGGCAGGTTTAGTATGGCAGGTTTTGTATGTTCAGTTTTCCTTCATGTTCTTCATGATCCAGATCATGGAGGGCAAGGAATTAGTCTTCTGTTCGAATCATTAATGACGGCGCTTACTGGATATGTTGTGATACCACAGACGTTTTTTCCCACGGAAAATTTTGAAATAGCCCTGAGGAATTAAAAACACAATTATTATGATGGTAGAACTGGTGTACCTTAAATGCAGAAAAATGGGCAGCACAGTGGCTAAATGCTTAGCACTTCTGCCTGGCAGTACTAGGGTCGTTAGTTTTAATCCCAACCATGGCACCACCTGCCTGGTGTTTGCATGTTCTCCCTGTGCCTGTGTGGGTTTCCTCCCACACTCCAAAGATATGCTGGTAGGTTAACTGGCTTCTGACTAAATTGGCCCTAGTGTATGAATGTAAGTTAGGGACCTTAGATTGTACACCCCTTGAGGGTTAGGGACTGATGTGAATGTACAATATATATGTAAAGCACTGCATAAAATTGACACTGATACTGTATAAGTACCTGAAATAAATAAGAGATGAGCACATTTATTTCTTCTGTTGAGCTATAGGATTCCTATCATGAAGTCACTGGTAAGAGAACAGAACATAACAGCCAGTCTCCCTACATACGTCTCTGTGGCAGTTGTCTTTCATTAGTACTAGTACAATTAGCGCATTTACAGCCCGTGCAGCTATTATGAAGGCTTGAGACAAAAGGGGCGCAAATGAGAGCATCTAAACACGTAAAAATACAAAACTCAGGCAACCTCTGTTTATCAAGTGGCTAGCCTGACCAGGGCCGGAACATGGAATGGGGAGGGGGGCAGGAGGGGCAGCTGCCCTGGGTGCTGATATTATGCATGGTGGAGAGGCACCACATGGAGATTTTCTGCTGCTACAAGCTGACAGATGTAGTGACAGCAGCATCACTACTCCTGTCAGCTTAGCGTGGAAGGTGAGAAGCTGAATCTGGAGTGCAGAAGAGAGGAGGGAGAGGGAGTGGGCTGTGCTCTCTCTCTCTCTCCTCCTGCCACTGCAGCACACCTGCATCAGGACTGTCCAATCGGGACTATGCAGGGTTTGCTTACCCAATCCCATCTCCTCCCAGCAAAAATATGGGTGGGGGGGTAGCAAACTCTGTAAAGTCCCGATCTGACAGTGTGTCCCCAAGCCAGGATTCCATACCCTTGCAGCAGCCAGCATCTCTTCGAACAAAAGTGTTAAAAGTCAGCTTGCCCTAGGCTCCTCCTCAACTCTGATGTGTCAAGAAGAGGAGGAGCTTCTGTATCTGAAGTCTGTGTGCTTGAGGGAGGGGAGAATTGCATTGGGGACATGGGGGGAGGTGAATAGAGCAAAAAAATTTGATCTGGGGATGGGAGTGTGCTAGGAGGAGAGGAAGAGAAGAAGATTAGTGCTAGGTAGGAGTTTTGGGGAGGGCAAAATGCACTAAGAGGAAGGATTGAGCAGGGGAGGAGATTTGTGCAGAGGGGTGATTTGGGGAGGGAATTGTGGTGGGGCAGGGGATATGGGGGGATTTGTGCTAGTAAGCAAAATTTATTGGGGGGGATTTGCATTAGGAAACTGGATTTGGTTGAAGGATTTGTACTAGTAGGAATTTTTGTGGGGATTTGTGCTAGGAGGGCAAACTTGAAGTATATAGAATTAGTGCTAGGATAGGTGATTATTTTGGGGGGGTGGATATTTTTGTGCTAGGAGGAGAGATTTGGGAAGGGAGAGAATTGGAGCTTGGTGGGGTGATGGGGGTTAGATATTTGTGCTGGTATTTCAGCAGGTGAGGGTTTGTACTGAGAGGAGGGATTTTTGTTTGGGGAGAATTTTGGCTTGCAAAGGGAATATATGCTTAGGGGGTTAGCGTGTAGATTAGGGCTTGATTTTTTTTGGTGAGGATTTTTGCTTGCACTTAATGTTCATATATCTTGGGTAGGGGAACACAGTTAGGCATCTTCACCATGGGCACTAGATGACCTTGTCCCGGCACTGCCCTCAACAGAACCAACTTGCTACCTCAAGCCTAGGATTGCGCTACATTTCCACATGTTGATCTAACCCCCCAAACAAACTTAGTTTCTGACTTTAAGAGAAGGACTCAGGGTCAGTCCCACCTGTGCCTTTTAAAGCTGACTGCATTGAACTGGCTGTGCCTGATCTATTGCATCTTCAGCTATACTGAACCACACTAATTCACACTAATTGGTTAAATGGGTCTTTTTATTGTGGGGGTGGCGGGTTGAATGACTGCCACTACTATCCACCCTGTATCCTCACACTAATTTTAAAATTAAACTAACACCTAAAGTGAGCCCTAAATATTCAACTTTATTAAAAACTTAGATTAGGTTATAATTAGAAATCTGCTTGCGCTCCTATGTAAAATACAATTGGTAAACGTGTGAAGCTGCTAACATCTGATCCAATACCCCAAGATCAAAACAATGCAGAAAAAATACAAATGATGTAGCGCTAAAACACCCAGTTTAAAGCGTCAGTGCCTTAGGACATGCAGCATGATGTTAAAATCCTATATGAACATAATACATATATGTGCGTGATGATACTGACAAAATGGAAAACAGATGTGCAACCCCTACACACAGTGCACATATATGAATATAAAGTCCAGTGATCCTGTATCAATATTTGCACTCAAACAGAGTCCTTGGACTGTATGTGGGCCCGCACACCACCACGTGCAATCCGAAATCAGCTGAAGTGGCCTCTCACCTCCTCCCTGCGACCCTGCAGGGCCACAGAGCTTTATCAGATCCCCACTGAGTCAAGGTATGCTTCCTCTTGAGTGGATGGTTGGTATATCCCCAGTATACAGCTTCCACCTCTCCTGTGGTATCCTCCGAGGTGAGCTGAGCAGGATGGACCCCAGCTCAAGCCCCCATGGGATAAAGGAAGCAAAAGACATCCTCCATAGTGTAAAACCGTTTAATAAATGCCGGAAAATAAATGTATAATACACTCACATTTGCCAAATAACATACAAGCTGTTTCCCATAGCATGGGTGTATGCGTGTGGCTGAGGGTGTACCAAGATGGCGCCGCGCCGCCGGAAGTGCGTCACCACGTATTGCCGTCGACGCGTTGTGTCACGTGACCCCTCCCAGCGGGTCACGATTGGAGGAAAGGCTGGCCTATTTAAGTGAGTGCTATAGACCAATCACGTCAGTCCTGAGGAAGTCACGGGGTCACGTGACGCAACGCGTCGACGGCAATACGTGGTGACGCACTTCCGGCGCGGCGCCATCTTGGTACACCCTCAGCCACACGCATACACCCATGCTATGGGAAACAGCTTGTATGTTATTTGGCAAATGTGAGTGTATTATACATTTATTTTCCGGCATTTATTAAACGGTTTTTACACTATGGAGGATGTCTTTTGCTTCCTTTATCCCATGGGGGCTTGAGCTGGGGTCCATCCTGCTCAGCTCACCTCGGAGGATACCACAGGAGAGGTGGAAGCTGTATACTGGGGATATACCAACCATCCACTCAAGAGGAAGCATACCTTGACTCAGTGGGGATCTGATAAAGCTCTGTGGCCCTGCAGGGTCGCAGGGAGGAGGTGAGAGGCCACTTCAGCTGATTTCGGATTGCACGTGGTGGTGTGCGGGCCCACATACAGTCCAAGGACTCTGTTTGAGTGCAAATATTGATACAGGATCACTGGACTTTATATTCATATATGTGCACTGTGTGTAGGGGTTGCACATCTGTTTTCCATTTTGTCAGTATCATCACGCACATATATGTATTATGTTCATATAGGATTTTAACATCATGCTGCATGTCCTAAGGCACTGACGCTTTAAACTGGGTGTTTTAGCGCTACATCATTTGTATTTTTTTTTTTTTTTTAGATTAGGTTATACTCTTTTATACTGTTTTCTATCTTTTTTACTATATGTAAACAATCTTTGACTATAATGAAAAAATGTATATATAACAATGGATTACCAGAGCACTACGGTTATCTATAGAGAAGCAGTAACAGCCTGCATCATGGCTGGGTTTGTCTGACTGAAACGTTGAATAGGGCTGTCCTCTTTATGAGTTACTATGATGTGCCATTAACCTATGTGTGTTAATTGCATCTTGAACTATGACATTTTGTAAAGAAAAGGATTTTTTTTATCAAAGGAGCCCGTAAATATGTGAAAAGGGACTGAGAGCTCCACCTGCTGACTAAAAAATAAAACATTAAAATCCAGTATTTCATATTTACCTTTCTAAAGAGAAGTATTTTAACATTTTTATTTGACAGTCCTGAGCACTATAGAGAAAAAATATGTACAAAACTACTCCACATTCCCTTAACCCCCTATCAATTGATCTAACATTACCACTTAACCCTTACCTTAATCACTAACTTTTAATCCCGCAGACTGTGTACAAGGTATATGTGATGTGGTATAGTAGCCAGGAGGACTGACAATTCATGGGGCCCCAGGGCAATAGGGGATCATGGGGCCCCTGTGTCCTTGCCCAAATTCAAAAAAAGCCTATGAAAAAGGTACCAGGGGCATCTCATGGGGCCCCCTACTGACCCCAGGCCCTCGGGCAGTGCCAAATGGTCAGTCCGCCCCTGATAGTAGCATAACCATTGCATTATTCCTTCCTAAACTCAATGCCCTCCTAGCTGATGAGCCCTGCAATCTTTTTTTTTTTATGATGTCAGCAACAGTTTGTCTTTGTGAGCAGTAAACAGTGATGAGGAATCATAATCCCAGCATTATGTGATGAGCATGGGAAACATTATAAGCAACACTGCAGCCGAGTTAAATTTGCCTACTATATACCACATGTATAAATCAGAAGCTTTCAGAATGTTAGTTTTTTCGTCAGAATATGTGCTTTTAATTAATTTTCACTGCCCTTCCCCCCCCCCCCCCCCCCCCCCCCCCACTGGTGGGACCCTCAACTTCAGAAGGATAAAACAAAAATAAAACGCACATTATTTGTGTGTCTTCCAAAAACTTTGCATGCATTTTTAAAAGCAACTGATAAAAATGCATAAGTAATGGTAATGTCAGTCTCCTGTAAATATAAGGATGTCACATGACGAGACAGGACCATCCCATAATGCACTGTCCCATGACTGAGCTATTTACCAGCATTGGGCATTGCAATACGGGAGACATACAATGACTCCTGGAGACTTACGGAAAAAAAAATCACATTTTCAAAGTCACTATTTTCATGACCTCCAGTAATTTTCAAGACTGGAATATACAGCAACGGGTATGTGCTGACAATTCATATCGTCACTTACCTGCTGCTGCTATTAGGCTCCTTTCACACAGGTGGTGACTCCTATTTGAGCAGAGAGGATCTGTCCACTGGTCCCCTGTTGAGCAGAGCAGAGTGGGCGGATGACAGGTCCATGTCCGCTCATTTTATGCAGAGCAGACACAGATAGAGCATACTTTGCTCTATGGGCTGCCAGATGTAAACGGACTCTGCTGTCTGTTTATATCTGACTGCTCTCTTATCCAATCCACCTAGACGTAAGGGGACAGATCCCTTTCCGTTTTTTTCTTTTTTTTTTAGTTCACCAGATCAAATTGGAAGTAGGTGGGTGTAAATGGACACAACTCTGTTTACACCCACCATTCCATAGAGATACATGGACTATCCGATCAGGTGAATAATTTACAGGCGTACCTGATTTGGATCGCCCGTCTGTTAAAAGGGATTTAGCTTTGTTATTTTATTTCAACCATAGGTTCAGTTTAATGAATCAAAACCAAGACTTGCATGATTAATGTGCAGCAATACATTACAATATCTAAGGAATGTGTTCACTATTATACAAAAAGGTGAAAAGTGAATATAATTAGGTTACTATGCACTAACAGTACTTACATTTTCTCCCCAGTCCTTTCCCCAGCTGTTTTTTGCAATCCAGTATGGGCAATTATTGTTATCTGGAGTACAGAAACAAAGTAAGACATGTACAGAAATATATTTTCCACAAGGTATTGTAAAACACCTACCAAGGTATTGAATACTACAGACTAGCATCAAAATGAGTTAACTAAACACAAGTTAAAAAAGTATCTTTATTAGCCTAACAAACACATTAAAATCAGTTAAAATCCAAATTCACCCACCTGGTACAGCATCATCCCCAAACATATATCTAGTATAACTTGTAAATACGTACCACAATGCTAATATACAATAACTAAAGGAGAGCTAAGAGTTTTCCATACCATACAAGTCAAATTTACGCATATTATTATGTACAGTGTCAGTTATTTGGGGGCTACATCTTACTAAGATTTAATATTAATCCATTTTTTTTTATTCCTTTCCTTTGGGGGTAATGATTTTATTGTGTTTTGGTGATTTATGTTGTATTTTGTATTTTTGATACATTAATAAAATTATGGTTTTATTTATACCTGAATGTTTAGCTGTCCCCCGAGTCTCATATAAAGATAGTAGTGGTCTTGGAGGGATTAGTAAGAAATTTAATTGTAAGAAAAGAGGTTGAGCCCTAGACAGGTTTTGATCGTTATTGTTATCAATATTCAAATGCATTTTAACTGCTCCGGAAGATTTTACCCCCTTCATGACCATGCCATTTTTTGCTATACCACACTGAGCTACTTTAACTGGTAATTGCCCGGTCATGCAACACTGTACCCAAACAAAATGTATATAGTTTTTTCAAACAGAGTTTTCTTTTGGTGGTATATGATCACCACTGGGTTTTTTTTTTGCAATATAATGAAAAAAGATTGACTCTTGGAAAAAATAACTCATTAATTTTTACTTTCTGTTATAAACATATCCAATAAAAAATGTATTAAATATAAAATCTGGGTGGGAGATGTGAGTTAACTGCACCTCATCCCGTACGGAATTGAACTAATTTTCTTTTAGAATCCTTTTATGTAATGTTCTAAATAAATTGTAATTTTTTAATCAATGTTTAGTGTAGGCGTGTAATATATGCACCTAGATAATCCCATTCCTATTTGTTTCAATTAAAACATTTTAAAAAATTAAAAAAATCAAATTTCTTCATAAATTTTTGCCAAAATGTATTCTGCTACACATCTTTGATAAAAAAAATCCCAATAAGTGTATATTGATTGGTTTGCGTGAATGTTATGGCACCTACAAACTATGGTATAAATTCTGGATTTTGTTTTTTTTAATATACTACTAATGGCGGTGCTCAGCAACTTATAATTGAACTGTGGAAGAGCAGCGAGAATCTGACATCAATTGGCACTGATTAACTGCCACTGACATCACCAGTGGCATTAACACAGTGATCAGTGATAATACTATACATTGTCACTGTATTAATGACACTAGCTGGGAAGGGGTTAACATTTAGGGCAATCAAAGGGTTAAATGTGTGCCTAACTATGTATAATGTGTGAAAAGTGTGCTGTTTTTTACTATTATATCTCTCTGTTTCTCATCCCTGCAAAGATCATTCCCTCTGTGCAGAGCTCTGTGTTGTTCACCAACACAGAGTTCTTGGCTGGGATTGTACACACCCAATTAGCAGGTCCCGGCCATGGGAGCAGGTCCTGGATGATCAGCAGGTCCCTCCCAAAACATAATGAAAAGACAACATTCACATTGCACTGGTTTGTAAACAATTTTTTCTCATTTATCTTTTTTCATTCATCCCTTATTCCAGAGAAATATGTGCCAAAGGGTCCATGGTGGACCTTCTACAGTTTATAAATAAAATTCCTTTTATTTTGTAATCTGTAAAGTTTCTTCCACAAATGTACCTGACCATTAGTACACTGAAGATTTAATCTCACTACTTGATGTCTTTAAAAGTGTCACTTTGTTTTAACAGTAAATACTTTACATAGGCTTCCTTTTGCTTCCCTTAATGCTTTTGGAAAAACATTTCTGGCTCTCCAGCTCCTTGCACATTTATTTAAGTTTTCTTGTAGAGTGCAAATTCTATGTACCAGAGGTCTTCCCTACATATCTTTCATTGATTATTGGTTTATTATAGCAAGTAGCATTCCTAATAATTGAGTGTATACTTGTCCTTTCACCATTGTCCCTATCGCAAAACCAAGAAATGTACCAGTGCTGACATTAAAGTGGAATTGCAGTCAAATTCTAACTAAGGCTACATCTATTCCCAATCGAATTCAAAGACTATTCTATCTACCCTGTAAAAGAAAAGATATCTATACTTACCTATTCTGAAGCCACTCCGGTCTGGTCACATGATCAGGAGGCAAGTGCCGGATTCAGTGTAGAGGAGAGGCAGCAACAACAGCTGCAGAACCTTAGTCCAGATGTCACCCATATAGACTTACAATGAGCCAGCTGTTATTGACTGTCCCTCCTCTACACTGAATCCAGCACTGGGACCTGAACATGTGACCGAACTGGAGTGTCTTCAGAATAGTTAGGTATAGACCTAATTTCTTTTACAGGGTAGATAGAATAGGCATGGAAGTAGATTAAGCCAGTGTTTCTCAACCTTTTTTCAGCCAAGGCACCCTTTAAAATTATGGACAGTCCCGAGGCACTCTTTAAAATTATGAACAGTCTTCAAGCACCCCAGTCTAAAATGTGAAAAACTATTATAATACTTTTATATAAAACACAGCAATATCCACTTATGTAGGACACCCAACATTAGAGATTATTTATTCTCCCAAAGCAAATACACTTTTGCACACTGGTACTGACTAGTATTCCAGTGTTTCTCTTCTCCCTCAGTTTTTCTCCATCACTGAGCTAATGTGGAGGGGGTAGGGGAGGGTCAAACTAGGATGCTGTGCACGCAGCTGACATCTTCCTTATCAAATGATGATGTTATTGGCTGTCAGGACACCAGCAGCTAGTAGATCATAATGGTGCACAATGAAAACCTGTTACTTTGTGTAACTAAAAGGCAGGCTTATTCCACCCGCTGGATTATATAAAAGTTTTGGTCAATTTTTAGACATTTTGCCAAGGCACCCTTGAAGATACCTCAAGGCACCCCAGGGCACCTTGGCACCCTGGTTGAGAAAGGCTGGATTAAGCTTTAGTTGGAATTTGACTGGAATTACACTTTTATTATATTATTATTATACAGTATATATAAAGCGCCAATAGTTCGCTCAGCGCTGTACAAAGGGGGGCAGAACATGTGACAGAACAACAACACTACAATGCAAAACATGAGGGGATCGAGGTCCCTGCTCTCTCGAGCTTACAATCTAGGAGGGGGGGATGGTGGCACAGGAAGAGATAGCTGTGGGGGATGGGGTGGTAGGAAGAGTGGAGGAGGTTGGCAAGTTAGCAGGGGGTGGGGTAGGCTTCCCTGAAGAGGTGGGTTTTCAGGGTGTGCCTAAAGGAGAGGAGAGGAGGTGATAATCTGATGGGTTGGGGCAGGGAGTTCCAGAGGATAGGTGACACCCTGCAGAAGTCCTGGAGGCGGGCATGGAAGGAGGAGACCAGGGAACTAGAGAGAAGGAGGTCTTGTGAGGAGCGGAGTGTGCGTGCTGGGTGATACTTGGATATTAGGTCAGTGATGTAGTTCGGGGCAGTATGGTGGACGGCTTTGTACGTCAGTGTTAGGATTTTGAATTTGATCTGTTGCAGAATCGGAAGCCAGTGGAGAGATTGGCAGAGGGGGGTGGCGGAAATGGAGAGGTTGGAAAGGTGAATGAGTCTGGCAGCTGTATTCAGGATCGACTGAAGCGGGGAAAGCCAACGGCAAGGCAGGCCAGTAAGGAGGGAGTTGCAGTAATTGAGTCGTGATATGATGAGGGAGTGGATGAGCTGTTTAGTGGTTTCTGGGGTTAGGAACGTGCGTATTTTGGCGATGTTGCGGAGGTGGAGTCTGCACGAGCTTGTTAAAGATTGGACTTGGGGCTGGAAGGATAGGTTGGAGTCCAGAATGACACCAAGTACTCTGGCCTGCGGGGTGGGTTTGATGGTGGCGTTGTTGGATGTGATGGAGAAGTCAATGGGGGGTGGTGTCCGGGCTGGGGGAAGACAAGAAACTCGGTTTTGGAGAGGTTAAGTTTAAGGAAGTGGAGCAACATCCAGTCTGATATGTCACTCAGTAGGTGTGTGATTCGGGCGGAGACTGAGGTGGTGAGGGTGGGGGGTTGAGAGATAGATTTGTGTGTTGTCGGCATATAGGTGGTAGTTGAAGTCGAGAGTGTATGAGTTGGCCAAGGGAGGAGGTGTAGATGGAGAAGAGAAGGGGCCCGAGGATGGAGCCTTGAGGGACCCCAACAGAGAGGGGGAGTGAGGGGGAGGATGGTAGCATTATAGGTAATGCTGAAAGAGCGTTGTGACAGGTAGGATGAGAGCCAGGAGAGAGAGCAGAATCTCTGAGGCCAAGGGAGTGTAGTTTTTTGAGGAGGAGGGGGTGGTCGACTGTGTCGAAGGCCACAGAGAGGTCAAGGAGTAGGAGCACTGAATAGTGGCCATTAGCTTTGGTGGTTATCAGGTCGTTGGAGAGTTTAAGTAAGGCAGTTTCGGTGGAGTGTAGGGGACGGAAGCCAGACTGTAGGGGATCGAGGAGGTTGTTGTCGTTGGGGTGAGAGCTTAGGCGGGTGTAGACTAGGCGCTCGAGGAGTTTGGATGTAAATGGGAGCAGGGAGGTGGGTTTGAGGTTGTTCGGGTCATTGGGGTCCAGGGAGGGCTTTTTAAGTATGGGGGTGATGTGTGCATGTTTCAGAGGGGAGGGGAAAGTGCCGGAGGAGAGGGAGAGATTAAAGATGTGGGTGAGGGAGCGTAGGATGGAGGGAGGTTGTAGGAGTTGTGAGGGGATAGGGTCGAGGGGGCAGGTGGTAAGACGGGCATCAGAGAGGATCTTGGAGACTTGCTCGATGGTAGTAAGGTCAAAGGTGTGGAGTGTTGGGGGAGCTTCAGTATGAGGAATATAGGGTGGAGTGGAAGTGGAGGTCAGAGCAGTGGTGGGGCCGTGGGAGAGGGGTGATGAGGGGGTAGCTGAGTGAGGGGGAACGGGATTGGAGGGAGTTTGAGCAGCGATGAAGTCCCTGCGGGTTATATCGAGGGAGAGGGGGGATGAGGGGGTAGCTGTGTAAGAGGGGACGGGTTGAGAGGGGCGTGTGAGTTGCGGCAATGTCCTTGCGAATTGTGTCAATCTTGTTTTTGAAGTGATTGGCAATCTCAAGGGGTCTGATGTTGCGTGTGGTTAAAAGCGCTAGTGAGTCAAGGGCTGTTGACAGCGCGTTGTTGTAGACCGTCATAGTCAAGTCGGGGCATGACAGGGGGAGGATGCTGTCATGGAGTTGATCAGCTGCAGAGTGGAGGGGGGCAGAGTTAAGGTTGCGGAGGTTCGGCTGGTAGTAGTGTGACATTTGGAGGGGTAGGTGTTGGAGGATGAAGAGATAGAGAAGGTAATCAGGTGGTGGTCAGAGAGAGGGAAGGGGGTGTTAGTGAGGTTGTGGGGAGCACAGCGGTTGGAGAAGACAAGATCAAGGATATTACCGTCGGAGTGGGTGGTGGATTGTATGCACTGTGCAAGTGCAAAGGAGGAGGTTAAGTGGAGGAGATGGGATGTGGCCGGGTTGTCTTGGTTGACAGGGATGTTGAAATCCCCAAGGATGATGGTGGGTAGCTCAGAGGAGAGGAAGAATGGTAGCCAGGAGGAAAAGTCATCCAGGAAGCAGGATATGGATCCAGGAGGCCGGTATATCACAGCAATCTTCAGGGGGGTTGGGGAGAATAGTCAGATGCAGTGGGCCTCGAAGGAGAAGGATAGAGAGGGGGGTTTGGGAAGACTCGGAAGGTGCTCTGCGGTGACAGGAGCAGACCAACCCCACCACCTTTACGACCGTTGGGCCTGGGTGAGTGGGTCCAGGTGAGACCTCCGTAGGAGAGTGCAGCAGGGAAGGTAGAGTCAGTGGCCTGGATCCAGGTTTCCGTAATCGCTAGGAGGTTGAGGGAGCGGGAAACAAAGAGGTCGTGGATGGCGGTAAGCTTGTTGCACACCGATCGGGCATTCAGGAGTGCACATGAAAACGGGGGGGAGATTTTAGGGAGCAGGGGGACAGATACTAAGTTGCGGGGGTTTCGGCAGGACGTGGAGGCGGGAGGGTGTTGTATGGGTGAGGGATGTGGTGGAGGGCCAGGAGCAGTGAGGACACAATATACAATTGTTTGGGAGGAGCAGAGGGATATAGTGAATGGATTTTGGGAACGGAGGAGAGGGAAATGAGAAGGAGGAGTGGAAGATGCATTTTGGGGAGGTGCCCGGGAGGGCGGATAGGAGTGGTGGGAGGCTTGGTTGTTGATAGTCCAGCGGGCAGAGGAGTATCTCGTATATGTCTTCTGGTGGCTGGAGTTTAGGGGAGAAGGGGGAGGGGATCAGGTGTGGATGGATGGTTTCCAGGGGCGCTTGAGTGGTGAAAGTCTGGGGTGCAAAGGGGTCTCTTGGTGTGGTGGCTTTCCACAAGGGTTCAACAAGTCTTTAGGTCAAGTTGAGCCGGGGGTTGGTATGAGTGGAGGTGCTGAAGGCCCAGCATCTGGAGGTGGAGTGGGCTAGGTGTTGGTAGGCACAGTAGAGCCCGCCATCAGTGGGTGTTGTGGGCCAGTGCATGTGGATGCTGCGGGCCAGCGACTGAGGGTGCTAAGGGGCCTGGCGTCAGTGGGTGCAGGTGGCTGCGCGGTAGGCTCGCCTCTGCCGGATTGGATGGGGCTTTAAACAAAACTGTGAATTTAGATTGTTACTGATGATCAGGCAAAGAGTATATTGAAAAGTAGAAGATGACATTCAATACATGTTTAGATTGTTACTGTCAGATAAATTATTAAGGGAATTAAGCTTGCTACAGCCAATGTAATGCATAAAAACCATGGAGTTTTTTTTACATAACCCTAACAAAACCTGAGCACATTCTTTATGTATATGTACCAAAACACATCCCAGCACAAGTACCTAGAGGCCCCCCAACACCAAATAAGAATTTTCCACTATAACAAGTATCTACTGGCATACTAATGTCTTTTTTCAACTTGACTAATTATGTAACTATGAACAATTATTATTATTATACAGTATTTATAAAGCGCCAACAGTTCGCTCAGCTCTGTACATTACAATGTGAGACAGAACATGTGACAGTACAGACAGAACATGTGACAGTACAATAACAATACAATGCGATACACGAGGGGTTCGAGGGCCCTGCTCCTTGGAGCTTACAATCTAGGAGGGAGGGGATAGTGGTACAGGAGGAAATAGCTATGTGGGATGGAGTGGTAGGAAGAGTGGAGGAGGTCGGGAATTAGCAGGGGGTGGGGTAGGCTTCCCTGAAGAGGTGGGTTTTCAGGGTGCACCTAAAGGAGAGGAGAGTAGGCGATAGTCTGGAGTTAAGAATTATAGAGTTAAGAAGATACACATTAATCTGGTTTAACTTGCTGTATGTTTAGTTATAATTAAATACAATATTCTTGTAAACATAAGCCATCAAAATACACTATTACATTATCACATTGTACATTAAGGGGGGTTCTGAATGAGCAATTAACATGTGAGCAAGATTATTACAGTAAATGCAAAATCAGATGATTAGGGAAAGGGTATATTGAAAAGTAGAAGATGACATTCAATACATGTTTTTACATTGTACATATAAGAAAAAAAGCAAAGCATATTTTAAGATTTAACTTTACCTCTGGAATATCCAACCAGTAAAACCATATGGTCAGCCAATGGACTGCAGTTTATCCGGTTTGGATAAAGTACCCCATGTTGGTAATACTATAAAGAGCCAGAATAGATTTTGTTAATTATAGTATCTGCAGAAATACTTTTTAGATTATGTTGTCATTTTGAATACTAAAAATATAGCTAACATTGGTCATTTTCAGGTGTACTCCACAGGGCTGTATCTAGTCTGTCCAATGTGGGGGTGCAGTAAAAAATGTCAGGGGGGCAGAGGATCAGAGGTCAGCAGGGAGAAGACAGGGGTCAATGCTGGAGGGGCAAAAGGAAGGGGCACAGCTCCTTCTCCCACACAACACACAGGCAGCAGAGCTGCTCCTCCCTACACAATGCATAACTGAGATCAGTATAGTGTCAAATTAGGGCAGGAAAGTATCAGATTAGGATGGTATAGTGTCAGATTAGGGCAGCATAGTGGCAGGTTAGGGCAATATAGTGTCAGGTTAGAGGAGTATAGTAGGTTGGATTTGGGGGGGGGCACAACTAAAATCTGGGGGGCATAGCCCACCCCAGGACCCCCCTAGATCTGGCCATGGCACCCCAGCATGCTCTTTATTCCTCTTCCAAAATTTTGGTCAGTTTTTCTTTAAAGTTGAATCATTCCTCTTTGAAATATTGGTTAGTTTTCCCTGAAATCCCCTGATATCTTGGTCATTCTTATTCTAGACATCAGTCCCACTCATTCTCTTTAGCTGTTCCATTATTTTTTCCTCAATGACTATTGAAATGGCAGCCCCGGGTTGTCTCTCTGGATGACTGACACCCAGGCAGCCAATATAAGGCATCCGTGTCACTATGTCACGTACCTGATGGGAGACTTAAATGACGAGGTCAGCCTCACTTGTGTCACTAGCCCTGACCCCACTGGAGTTGGAACAGAGGGAGTCTAGGACCCAGGGGAACAAGAGCGCCAGTAGTTGTTGTTTGCAGCTCTTGCAGATGATGACTCTGGAAGACTGATTAGCTTCTGATATAGGCACAGTAGTAACAAGCAGAGCAGATCTTTTAGATTGCCAGGCGTGCACCAGAGCAAGGCAGGTAGTGAGGGTAAGAGACAGGAGCAGTGTCATGGGAGTAGCCAGGGTCATCAACAGTCGGGCAGCACGGTACAGAATCAGAATGAAAGCCAGGGTCAGGAGCAGAGCCGAAGTCAGGAACCAGTATCAATCAGGAGAGCAATCAGAGTCAGGTGAGGAACAAGCCGGGTCAGCAACAAAGGAATCACACAGGAACAAGCAGGACAGGGGGAGCTGAAGACCAGTCAGCACTCAACATGGGCAGAGACACTCTTTAAATAGGCCGTCTGGCACCAATCTTCACCGTACGTGTGCATGTGTGTGTATGCGATCGCGCATTTCTGCGCGCATGCGCACAACCGGTAATTCTTCCCTGGGAATTCCTATGCGCATTTCTAATCGCGATTCGTCTTGCCGTAAATCCCTTACATACTATGGGCGTTTACCCTGACGAAGTCATGTGTTACTCGTGACGCAACGCGTTGGTACACCGTGACGGGACGTCCGCTGCATGGTGACATCACTTCTGGCGCGAGCACCATATTGGAACTCCATGTACACCCATAATATTAGGATATAGGCTTGTGACATTCTACTACTTCGTGAGTGGGCATTTTATGTTATATCAAAGCAATAAAATTACTGAGTTACACTATGGAGGATCTCTTTTGTCTCTGAATATTATCCTTTTGGTGTCAGCAGCAATACCAGAGTATCCAGTGGTTGGAGGAGGTCTGGAGGATATTGGTTCTACTGTGGTATCTGGTGCGGTCTCTCTAAGGGGGGTGGTTCCTGAGAGGAACATGATTGATCCAATAATTGAGCAGGCCCTTGTGGTTGCTGTGAGAAGGTGAGGGGGCATTCAGACCAGGGGCGGACTGACCTTTTGGAAACTCAGGCACTGCCCGAGGGCCCAGGGTTAGTAGGGGGCCCCATGAGATGCCCCTGGTACCTTTTTCATAGGCTTTTTTGAGTTTGGGCAAGGACACAGGGGCCCCATGATCCCCTATTGCCCGGGGGCCCCATGAGTTTTCAATCCGCCCCTGATTCAGACCATTTAAGGATTATCACCAAGAATTTTGGCACCAGTGGCACTTTCACGTGTGCAGAGCTATTTACACAAGTGTGTTTGAAGTGGACTGTTTATGAACTGTATTATATACATTTAATTATCACTTATTGGCTGATCGAGTGGGGTTACACCAGCACCGCTTTGTGTATTGTGTTCCCACTTAGGGAACCACTATATTCACTGCTACATTTTTTCCCCCAGTTGGGGAAAAAGGGGGGAGTTATTTGTATGTTTCTCCACATATTAGCTTTGCTTAATCATTCACTTGGTTTGTGTGTCATTTATTATTTATCATATATTGTTATCTGTGTATATGTATTCTTACTAGCGCTACACCAAATAGATTTCATTAGATGTGTGTATTGTATCCCTGGGTTGACCTGCTGGGATTGGTAGATCTGAGAGGAAGGAATTAACACTGCTAGACAAGGGTTCCTGCCATTTTTCTGAGATTCACTGCCCCCTCCAGGTCATACCATATAAAAAGGGGCTTCTCAGAGCCTTTTGGAGTTTCTTGTTAAAGCTGTTACTCTGCAAGACTGTGCCCCCTGCTGGGGTTCCCTATAATACTGGGAACTTAAGGAGTCTTTGGACTCTGAGCTACCAATTTTGGACTTATTGCCTTTGTGGATTACTGCTAATCATGGACTTTAAAGGGCTACTTGGTACCTCTCTGGGTTATTTGCCAAAATGGAATCTTGCTCTAAATGGACTGTTTATGGACTGCCTAAGGTACAGTCACTTTATGGGGCACTTAGAGAACTCTGTACAGGACAGTATGTGAAGTTGCTTGGAGCAACTGTTTCTGTATCCTGGTGGACTACTTCCGTAAAAACCTTTTGTTGTTACTTCTAATATCTGGTCTGAAATCTCTCAAAGGGTTGCAATGCTTGGCGTATCAAAAGAACAGGGCTTACATCAAGGGGACTGTAGGTTAGAGCAGATACAGTACATGCTGCCTAGTACATGGTGGGGAATACTTTCTAGTCAGTGGTGTATTTAGGTTTAGTGCTGTCCTAGGCAACACAAAAATCAGACGCCCCTCCTCCAGGGGGTGTAGAGAGCCTGACACCAACCAACACCAGACCCCCCTTCCCCCCACGGAGAGAGTCTGTCAGTGACCAACAACACCCCTGCCCCACTAACATCCACCCCCCCCCCCCCCTCGGCGACAGAGGGAAGGACACTGACCTTTACAGCTCTGGATATCCCCAGGAATGACAGTCGGGCTCTACATACATCAAGCAGTCCGCAGCCTCTATCGGATCCCACCTGGTCACCATGCTGCATATGTCCCTTCTTACAGGGGGCAGTGCTTCCCCCTTAAAAATTGCTGCCCTCGGCAAATGCCTTGTTTGCCTTGTGGTAAATATGCCCCTATTTCTAGTATAGGCTATATTGCCGTTGCTAGGTGTTAGAGTATCAAAGTTTAATATTATTCTAAATGATAAAAGTCTCTGAAAATATATCTATAAATGTCATAATGTTACGATATTAATTTTGAAGGTCATTGCTATATGTCTTTGACTTTGAAGTCAGTTTTGGTATTAATTATGTGTTTTTCAAAACTACATATGTGAGAGTGGGTGTTACTTTTAAATTTAGTATACTACTATACTTGGATAATGTGTAAGTTGTATTACATCATGTTCACATATAAATGAAGGACTAGAGATAAAGGGCTTCCAGAGAGAATCCTACACTCTGAAAGCAACGTACCATTTAATCTCTCCTTCTAAAAACTTGAAATTCCTTGAATGCTGTTTTGCTCAAAATTTTGCTCACTTTAAGAATGTGGCAAGCTTCAAGGTATCCAATTTCTACAAACAAGGAAGACTTGTTACACTAGGGACATCTAAACATGTATCTTTTGCTAAAAGCAAGCAACCAGTCAGGGAATGGATGACTTGGCAAGGGTGATGGTTACTCTGGTAGTAAAGGGGTGTTCTGCCTACCCCCTTCACTGGCAACCATGCTTAGGGACCTAGCCTGGAGGTCACGGGAGAGAGCAAGCACGTAGTCACAATAAAGTGCATTCCCTGTATCCAGTAACAGCATTCGAACAGGTCACTGGGAGTGTAGTGATAGGAATTGCTGAGGTGGTGGAGATTGGTAAGGCTCTGCAGTGCCAGTTCCTAAATGCTGCACATTTGGGAAGTGGTGTTTACTAACCAGTAGTTAAGTCCAGGGTTATCAGTGTAACTAGCTTGGCCATGGGTTACATAGAGTAAACTGTGCAAGTGCTGCTCACTTCTAAGTTTTGGAGACCTGCCTTATGTTGATTTCACATGACCTATGTTTTAGGTAATAGCGGGGACAGTTCCACTGTGTCCCCACATTGCCTGATAAGCCCCGCCCACACACAGGCTCTTCTATTACTACTGCGAGAGCTGTCTGTTACAGAACAAGTGTAGGGCTTCAATCAGAAGGGATGAGGGGATTATTTATTATTTTCAAGGTTAATAGGATTTCATCATTGCCATCATTGCTACCATTGCTATGTCAATTCACACACTATGTATACTTCAGGTATGTCCGTGATTAAAGTGGAATCCTGCTATAATTTAGAAATAAAATGTCTGTATTTTGTTAAAGTAAGCAAGTTTCCCAATAAAAAAATGACATTGCACATTATATATCCCTCTGATGCTTAATGAATATAATAAAACCTAATTTTGCATCTTGCAAACCTTGGGTCTATACTGACTCACCTTGAGCGCAGTGGAATTAAGGCAGGCAGTGAGGGTTCCTTTCTTACCAACAAAAGAAGCCATTGCTGTTAAATAGATTGACATAGACAAGTCACTTTCAAACCCCAAGTACATTCTTCATTATCTTTTATTTGTAAAGACTGCCACGTTAACCACTTGCCCTCCAGAGGATTTATCCCCCCCCCCTTCCTGACCAGGCCATTATTTGCGTTACGGCGCTGTGTTATTACTTTAAATGACCATTGTGCAGTCATGCAATGCTGCACCCGAATGAAATGTATGTCCTTTTTCCCCATAAATAGAGCTTTCTTTCAGTGGTATTTGATCACCTGTGCGTTTTTATTTTTTGCACTATAAAAAAAGACCGACAATTTTGAGAAAAAAAACAGTATTTTTAACTTTTTGCTATTAAATATGCCCAGTAAAAAAAGTAAAAAAAATCTAATTTCCTCATAAATTTAGGCCAAAATGTATTCTGCTACATGTCTTTGCTAAAAAAAATCCCAATACGGGTAAATTAAATTATAGATACTGGGATTTTTATTTTTAGTAAGTAATGGCGGTGATCAGCGACTTATAGCAGGACTGCGGCGGGCATTCTAACACTGGAGGGAACTGACTTAGTGTCACTGACATCCCCAGTGACACCAATACAGTGATCAGTGTTAATAAAAGGCACTGACACTGTATTAATGGCACTGGGCAGGAAGGGCTTAACATGTCGGGCGATCAAAGGGTTAACTGTGTGCTGTTTTACTAACTGCTGTGTGTGTGTTTCAAAGTAAGCACACTGCTATGCATTGCTCTGCTATGCAAAGCCACACAAAGCAGTTTGCAGTTCTCTCCCTCTGTCGGTAATGCTCCTCGACCACCGGGTGCCGGCGAGTAATCACCGGCCGGGACCCAGTGATTGACAGCTATATCCACGAATAGCAGCGCGGGTAGGGCGCATGCATACCCAGAAATGCAAAATCATGTATATATACACATGATTTGTGCAACTCTGCCGCCCTGTAGCATTATATTTGCTAGGGGGAGTGGTTTAATGTGTATATTTAGCCTGTCTGCTTTTGCTTTTTGACACTGCAATGAGGTTTACAAATATCTAGTCAAAGGTTATAAGTAGCATAAGAAATTCTACAGTGGTTCCCTGGTATTGCATGTCTGTATTTTGGAGACCTAATACAGTCACTTACAGCGTTTAAGATGCTACATGTTAAAGATTGTTTCTCTTTTTTTTTTTTAAAACCTAATAAGAACCCTAAGCTGCAGATAAAAAATAGGAAAAGAGATGAGAAGAAACAATGCTTTATATTATACAGAATGTATTATAAGCACATACCTGGGAAATACTGGAGAATGTTAGTTAAAGAGGAACTATACTGGATCTGAGCACCACAAACCAAAAACTGTATTTAATTTTTAATATTGAAAGCAAACTCCCCCATCCATCCATGTCTCCTAGCATTTCTGGCCATGGCCATCTTGAGTAAGGGCAGATGATTCATGAAGCATTTACTTACTGGAATCTATCTGTCCTTTGCTCAAGCATTGACTGAGCTGAGAACCCACCCTCCTCTCCTGAAGACTCCTGGGATGTATGACATCATTTCCCTAGGCATGGAAACCAGGAAGTAACTGACAATTGTAAAATAAAGTTTAAAACAAGTACATACAATATACTTTGCTATCTATTTACTAATGCTAGCAGCATAAGTAAAATAGTCAATGCTGATTGAGAGAGTGAAGTTCCAATTTAAGTAAAAGGAAATAGGCAGCTTAACCTTTATGTGACTTTACCCATATTAACATCAGGAGTGAACAATCTGTGTTTGCCATTCAAACAAACTACTTCTTAAAGAAATGGATGGTAAATGATGGTTCTGGTAAATGAATACCAGTACATATTTATTGCATCCATTGAAATTAATACAGCAACACTTACTTGATAATGGTTTTCTACACTACTGCGTTTTGTTATGAACAAGATCTAACAAAGTTGAAAGGAGTTATCAAGTAAGCCTTGTTGCATTGCTTTTATTGGATGTAATAAATATGGACCTTTAGAAATAACATTTTAGCAAAATTTGCTGATCATACTCTTGAGGAATAGCAGTTATGCCTGGGATTTTATTTCATGAGCCTTGGTTAGGTTGGATACACTGCATCTTCCCCATGTAGTTAAAGTAATCCCACTTGTACCCTATGTGTGGCTCCAGGAATTCAGAAATTGGAATGATCTAACATGATAAAATACAAAATGAAGTGCTTAAATATTCTTCTGTGATAAGTGGTTTGTCCACTTTTAATATTTAAGAACTTCATTTTGTATTTTTCAGATTTTGCTATACTTTCTCATCAGTTGTATTCACGATATTTCATTTATGTTGTGACGGACTCATATGTCCCACTCAGGGGCGGACTGACCATTTGGAAACTCGGGCACTGCCCAAGGGCCCGGGGTCAGTAGGGGGCCCCATGAGATTCCCCTGGTACCTTTTTCATAGGCTTTTTTGAGTTTGGTCAAGGACACAGGGGCCCCATGATCCCCTATTGCCCGGGGGGCCCCATGAGTTGTCAGTCCGCCCCTAGTCCCACTATTACTGTGATTTAGTTAATATTTTATTTCTCCCTGATCATTTCCGTGCGTTTTGCCCACGGTCACGGTTTATTGTCTGTTACACCTTTTGGTCCTCATGTTGGACCTTTATTATTTCACCTTTCCCTTCACTCCCATATTCCTTCCATTTACTGATTATGTTATGGTGTATTATCTATTGTCTTCACCTCTCACTATTTGTTTTGGAATGTCTGTGGCATTATTGTGATTAGCACAACATCAGTTTTCTGTTGGTCATCATCATCATCAGTATGGCTTTTATCAGGAGATTTGCAGTGACTGTGCTTTTATTTCTTTTAATCATCATCAATCAGCGACCCTTTTGGGGTTACCTGGGATACAATAAAGTGTCACTTGAGTGATAGATGGGGCTACTGACATCACATTCAAGTGTGCCCAGAAGCAGAGTCAGGGTTTTGGATGTTTCCACAAGGTATGTTTTTACTGGTATATAAAATGCCTTAAATGTGTAAAAAGCACAAGATTGTTAATAAAATGAATACTCTGGAAACAGGGTCTCTTTAAACTTATATTTTAAATTATATTTAAATGACATTTGAATTAAAAGTATACTTTAAATTTATAGTTCACTACCAGGGGGTTGAAAAGTTCCCTGCGAACAGTATATATATAAGCAATGACAGGTTCCTTTTAATGAAAAATGAGGGGTCTAAATTGACTTCTAAGCTCTCCCCTGTGTGCAGTAAAAGGAGATCTGAGTTTGGCATTTTCATAACTGTGTTTATTGTTTGAATAGGTGTTTTTGTAACTGTACAAAAAGCAAAAAATAAAGTAGATTACATACCTAATATTTTGATGAGTGTTTTATGAGAAATCTTTATGGAGGAGCAAATATTTTTCATAGGCATTACCCTTACCTCCTTCATTTTTAGGGAGTTTTACAAAATCTTCTATCCATCCATATTTCTTCAAAATGTAAGATTTACAGCGCCCCCTTGATCCCTGATATGGGTAACTCTGTTCAGTTACCAGTCCTCCTTTACATAAAAAACAGATAAATAATAAATATAAGTAAGCAGTAAGGTAAGTAACTTATTTCAGGGACACTGAAGCATAGTCATATGTTTTTAGGCCTCTGCTTATCCACTTAAAGCGGACCTCCACCCAAAAGTAGAAGTTCCGCTTTAAGGACTGGTCCCTCGCTCCCTGTTAAGAATTGGCACCTTAGGGACTTTCCACCAGTCCCCTCCTTCCTTCCACCCCTCCCTCCCTTCCTTCCACCCCTTCCTCCCTCCTTTCCTCCACCCCTCCCTCCCGTCTTTCCACCTCTTCCTCCCTTTCTCCCTTCCTTCCACCCCTCCCTCCCTTTCTCCCTTCCTTCCACCCCTCCCTCCCTTTCTCCCTTCCTTCCACCCCTCCCTCCCTTTCTCCCTTCCTTCCTTCCTTCTACCCCTCCCTCCCTTCCTTCCACCCCTTCCTCCATCCTTTCCTCCACCCCTCCCTCCCTTCCTTCCACCCCTTCCTCCCTTCCTTCCACCCCTCCCTTTCTCCCTTCCTTCCACCCCTCCCTCCCTTTCTCCCTTCCTTCCTTCCTTCCTCCCACCCCTCCCTCCTTTTCTCCCTTCCTTCCTTCCACCCTTGCATCCCTTCCTTCCTTCCATTTGCTTTCCTCCTTCCCTTCCTTCATTCTGCATAAAACATTTAACAGTGCCATCTCAAGAGATAATTTAAGAGGGCGTGTTTTAAAGGTGGAGCAGGGTAGGGGTTGGGTGTGGGCAACTGGTGGTGAGTAACTCTTAAGTCCTGGCTAGTATTCCTGCTGTACACTGTCATTGTACTAATGACACTGGCTGGGAAGGGGTTAACATTAAGGGGCAATCAAGGGGTTCACTGTGTGCCTAATAAGTGTGTTGTGTGTAATATGTGCTGATTTTAATAAGAGATCGCTGATCTGTGTACAGAGCCTTGTGTGTTTTTAAACACGGGGCTCTGTGCTGTGATTGGCTACAGCCAATCAGCAGGTTTCAGCCATAAATCATTGGTCGGGACCTGCTGACAAAATCCTGCTGTAGCCAGTGATATTGCAGATCAGCAGGGGGCACTGCACATGCTCGCCCCTAATCCAGAACAGGCTGGATGTACATATACATTATCCAACCTGCTCATGTCATCCGCCCACAGTAAATGTACTGTGGGCAGGCAGGAACTTTGAAATTCAATTCTCTCATTTTCAAGATTAATAGTCAAAGTATTGTAAAACAATAGGCTTGGATGTATGGTATACATTTTAAGATGAGCAGCACACTTTTTTGTGTTTTTTTTTTGCATGTGACCCCTCTCAACGTTTGTTCCACACCCCTATCTTAGATAAGGATCTGGTATGGTTTTTGTGGGAAATTCATGTTTTTTTTTCTCTTGCACAGTGTCATTAGTTGATATACTGCACCAACAACTGATGACTGTGCAGCCACCACTGTGCTAGCAACCAATGACTTCATCAGTTGCCAGGACACAGGCAGGCTGTTCTACACAGCATCCTTAGTTGCTAGGACACAGATGACACAGTAGGAAGTTGTCATTTACTGATGGTATTATACAGCCTTTAAATTAATGACTTCCTGCTGCAGCTGCAGCCAAGGTTTGTGTGGGTGAAAAGGCTATTTCTAACTATTTAGTTCTCTCAGTTAGCGAATTATGAGCAGAGAGAGTTCAGTGAGTATCCTGCATGGCCACAAACCAGAACCTTATCACTAATGACGAGCAAGATTTTTTTTTCAAACAAATTAGTAAATATTTTGATGTCTCACCTTCCTTTAATACAACCATATATGCATCCCAGGCATAACCTCCAGCACACCCAGCATCACATGGACCACAATCAATAATTTCTGGAAATAGAAAATGAACAGAATTAAAACATGTGCAGCATGAGTATAGGCTAGAGGGCAAAGGCATGAATAAGACAACTATAAAGAGAAACATACATCCTCTACTATATATTATTTCCACGTGTCATAATTACACACATTTATGTATCATGTATTATGTGTCAGTGCTATGTATACCTTATCTGTTTGTTTTTGTGGGCCTTAGTTAAATATTATGTTGGCTTAAGTTTCACTGGGAAACTCCAGAGCTGAAACTTCCCCCACCAGGAAGTTTCAGTTGGCCAAGTGACGTCATTGTACAAGGCAGAACCGGAAGTGAGCCATATTCTTACATGTATTCATGTTGATGTTTTTTGGGCAATATACATGTTAAAGAAGTGATCATTCTTTGTGCACTGGATATAATTCACTGGATTTGTTGAAGTCGAAGTGTTGGTGGAGATCTTATGAAGATTGGCATATCTGGTGAAACTGAGATCACTGGCCCTACTTAAGGAGTAAAGCACATCTAGACCTTACTTTCAGTGGGTCAAATATTGAGATAAGCAGGTGGTGTTACATGTGGTGTATTTAGTAATAGGAGTCATCTGCACATAGTGCGAAGCAACGGACTTGCTGGTGCTGCACAGAGACATTTTTTCACTTGACTTTTTATTGGATAATATATGGACAACTGTATTTGCAATCTGAGCACAGATTGAACAGAATTAGAATGTACATATGATTATGCACTATGATTGGTTCAAACAGTGAATAGTAATTGTATGTATTACGTTGCTCTGCACTTGTTTTGGTTTTAAAATAATTTGGTAGAAGTGGCTTTTCAGCGTTACCCTATATAAACCAAACCCTACCCCTAGTGAACCTTATTCAGAAACACTGGTGAATTAAACTATTATGGATAATGAATGGTACTCATGGATCATTATTATCTACATTACTTGTGTTGTAATTTCCACTTTAAGAAACAACCCTACATTTGCTCTACATTTAAAGTAGAACTATAGGCAAAACTTATTTTTTTTAATTGTGGATACAGCAAAGGAGAGTTACAACCCCTGTCAGATTATTTTCGCCATCTGTGTCCCATTGCGGAGATTTCCCTTCAATTCCTGTTCCATAGCGAAACAGGAAGTGAAGGGAAATCCCTGAAAATTAAGGGAACTCCTTGGGGACCCCCTAGGTCACCAGAACTAGTGTCTCTATTGAAAGATTTCCTCTCTATTACTCTTCTAGAGACAACCTTAAAATTTGGATTTTCTTTTACTTTCATTTTCAATGATAATGATAAACAGGACAAATAGGGATGGTGAATCTCCTTAACATGGGCACAGAAAGCAGTGAAAGCTGACAGTTGTTCCAATCCCTCTCCAAAACTAAAAAAAAGGTTTTGCCTTTAATTAAACTTTAACATCAGATTTTTAAAAATAAATTATTGCCCTATTCTAGCATGATAGAATATGTCCCCAATGAAATATACTACACGTCTGTGGCTAAATCTAACACATTAATTCATTTTGAATATATAAAATTTAACCTTGGACAAATAAGGCCTCATTTAGGCCTCATTCACACCATGCGTGAAGAAAAACTGATGGAAACCGATGCACAGATTTCACTTAAAGAGGCATCAGTTCATATCAGTTTTCATGCAAGCTTCAATGAGTTTCATACACATTGCAGATTCCTGCGCAGAAAAAAATCTGCACATGATACCAATGTTATGGTGAGAATAGGGCATATAGAGAACAATAGATTTCATTGTGCCCTTGCATCTCTGCATCATAGTGTGAATGAGTCCTTAAATATATTCCTTAATAGCTGTAGCATACAAAATCCTTGTGTGCCCCATATGCCTTTGAAAACCCAGCTATAATCATATAAAAGTAACAGTGCTACACATAGTTTGAACAGAGAACAGAATTGTGCTAGGAGCCCAGAATGCGCACCCACTTCTCAAGGGGTGAATAGAGGACCAATCACCCTGCACAATTATGTATATTTCTTGCAAGCACCATGCCTTTCAGAACCAGGAAACCTAAACATATTTTTACAGACAGATTAAACATAGCATATTATTTATAATAAAAAAGGTAAAACCCTTCACTATCAGACTTACGTTGAACTGACAAATTCATTGGATATCCACGAATTGCCCACAGTGCTTCAATGTTTCCCACAGAAGCAAAAGCCCAACATGAACCACAATCGCCCTGCAGACATATATTAAAAGGGAGTCTAAACATAACTGGGAAATTATATAAAAATGCCAAGCCAATCCACATTCAGGAATTAGTAAGCTAACTAACAAATTAGCATTATAGATAACAGATGGGAACAGTGCCCCTAGAACCAATATCACATAAAAGGAAATATAACACCAAAGAAATATATATAAAGAAAGATATATTAGAAAGAGCCGCTATCTCACCCCTGTGGAGCAGGGTAATCAATCTAAAAAACAAAGAAGGCAGCGCTCTTCAAAATATTATATCTCTAAATGAGTGAACTCAAAAAGTATTATAATGGGAGTGTCATCCAACATCCTCCTGGAGGACATCGGATGGTGAAACGCGTAGGATTGGTGACGTCACCACGTATGGGTGAGCTGCCGTTGTCTGCTTAGACCGGACAAAAACCTATTATAGTGATTTCTTATGCTTGTGATGCTAGTGTCAGTTCTGACACTGGTTAATGTGAGTGGTTTTAACACATTTTTGCATTCAATAAAGCCTAGATGGTTTTACACTATGTAAATTCCTTTTTTCTTCCTCCATGTCCTATTCTGATTATATGAGGAGCTAATTGCTATTTGAAGGAGTTTCTATTAGCTGGTGTGTGTTGCTGCAGATCGTTGCACCCAGAGCACAATAGCTGGTTTATAATCTTACCAGCATGGAGCTCTGGTGAGTGGATCCAATTCATTTGGTTGTGGATTTTCACATTTTTTTGATTCACATTGTTTGAGAAGTTTAAAGAGAATTCATTGGTTCATGAATACGAATTTGTTAGCACTTTTTATTTTATTAATTTATTTATATAATTTATGGACTTTTTGTTGGACACTTATTTATATATTTTTTCACTGATTTGGAAAAAAACATTTTTGATTGACTTGTTTGTCACATTCATCTGATATTATTTGCTATATGATTTATTCACATTATAGTACTTTTTGAGTTCACTCATTTAGAAATATATTATTTTGAAGAGCGCTTCATGGGAAGGTAGCAATAAGAGAACAATAAAAACAGAATAATATGTATGTATAATAAAAGTTTTATTACAGACAATAGTCTATGTGAAATTATTAACTCTTATGCCTGTAGTTTTGCTGTTCAAAGGAAAGTTCAATTGTGCTCTAGCAACAACCTTTGAGCAGCATATAGTATGGACAGGGGTTAATAGAAGTAATTAAAAATAATTAGTTGATTAGGGGTTTAACAAACGTTTAGAGACAATACAAATACAATTTAACATTAATAGGGAGTAGTGCTTAAAAAAAGGCTTGTAACAAGATCTAAAAACCCCTGGGGTGTTGGTTTTCTACCCAACTAATGGAAGTCATGTATTAGGAGCAAGTATATTGTTGAATAGAAAACATTTTGCTCTGAGAACAAGATTGGCCTCTTTGGGTGTAGGTATGAAAAGTAAAATAGCTCTTTGATTCAAAATACAATTTGATTTGTTACAGTTTCAAACATAAGTAAAGATTCAAAATATATTTAAATGTATAAAAGGTACACGTAGGGTTGACAGAAATTTCATGTGAGGGGGTATCTTGTGAACATCAGAAAAATCTAAGTAAGCCATCTTGATATCTAATTGCTGAGCCTTCATATGCATTATGGTGGATTATTATTTTTCTCTAGAGGCCGAGTAGCAATCTAATATAATGTAAACTTGTTTATTATAAATTATTTAAAAAAATAATTTTACATTGCAAAAATTGGTACAGTATGATACATTACCACCACAAAGATCATTATTCATGTGTATAGGTTAATGACATTCCTGAAACAGTTGCTTGCTATGTATTCTGACAAAGCATACATTTTGGTACAGTTTGTGTATTTCTCACCTGGAATTTGGCTTCTGAAATGACACCTGCTTTGCGCCAGTCACATGATAATTGTTTTGGTGGGGCCTCTATTTTATGCTCTGTCAAATTATCTGGAGGCAGTGCAAGAACTGGATTCAAATGATATCTTGCAAATTCTTCATCTATAGGTACATAACAAATTCAAAAAACAGTAAAGAGATAATGATTCAGCCAAATACATGTTAAAGAGCAATGGCTGTAAAAAAATGATATATCACCTGTGAGGTCACTAAATTTTGTGACACCATACTTTGCTGTCCCCAGTTCCTCCTTCTGTAAACGCGCTGCCTCTTTCAGGTTTTTGGAGAATATGGATAGTCGATAATGAAACTCTGTAACAAAGGTAGGTTAACAGTTCAAGAATGATAACTCATGTGATGCCTAATATACAGTGTTAGAAACTCAGTCTATAAAGAAAAAAAAGTAAACCTAAAAAACTGTACTGCTGACTTTAAAAAACAGCCGCTCGCCTGTCCCTCGGTCCCACGGTGTGTCCCCTGCTGCCCGTTTTACCGGCCGCCTTCTCTCCCTGGGCGCCGGCATCTTCAGTGTGGGCACCCGGCTGTGACAACTTGCGGATTCACAGCTGGGTACCCACTGCACATGCACGAGTAGCGCTGCGCTTCCTGAATGGTCCTGTATCTTCTGGGACCTGTCACGTGTCCTAAAAGACTACAGGGAGGGAGGACACCTTCCAGTTCCGATGTCCTTTGATCCAGCAGTGTCCTCACCACAGCCAATTCCACCAGCCGTTCTCTCTCCCCGGTGAGGGCATTTTAAGTGTGTGCACTCGGCTGTGACAGCTTGCGGCTTCACAGCCGGGTGCTTACTGCGCATGCACGAGTAGCGCTGCGTCTTGTGAATGGTCCCGTAGTCTTCTGGGACCTGTCACGTGTCCCAAAAGACTATGGGGAGGGAGGGTAGGAGGACAACTTCTGCTTCCAATCACCTAGGCGATCGGAGTGGAAGTGGGAGCAGGTACCTGTCAAATTCGGGTACCCGCTCCTCCCTGCCCCCCTAAGGTGCCAATCCTTAATGGGGTGCGGGGGACCAGTATTTAAAGCGGAACTTCCCCTTTTGGGTGGAGCTCCGCTTTAAGTCCTTTAGCTATTATAACTGTCAAAAATGAAAACATATGCAGATGTCACCATTTCATATTCAATAACTAGCTAGTACATTCAGTGCAGACAGCTCAAAAGTCAACAGTTATTAGAAATACATGGGGGAAGATTTACTAAAACGGATGCAGTCAGAATCTGGTGCAGCTGTGAATGGTAGCCAATCAGCTTCTAAATTCAGCTTGTTCAATTAAGCTTTGGCAACAAAACCTGGAAGCTGATTGGTTACTATGCAGAGTTGCACCAGATTTTGCACTTTACAGGTTTAGGAAATAACCCTGTGGTATACAAAAGCCTCTATTTTCCATCTTTCAGTTCAGAATTACAGGAAATTACAAGATCATAAAAGACCAGCAGTTTGGAGGATAGGGTTGGGTTGGAGATTTAGGTTAGGGGTTAAGGTTAGTGTTGGGTTTTAAGGGAGTTAGGTATTAAGTTAAAGTAAATGTAAAGTGAACATATTATTTTATGCTTTTAGTCAGGTTTTATTGCTGTCTGTGTCCCTGCTGGGGAAATTCACTCCCCTATAGCTCTTGGTGACCAGTACAGAAAGTGATGGGTAATCCACAATTTGCGTTGTCAGAGAAAGAAGAAGGAAGGATATTTTTTCAAGAGGTCAGCTATTCTGGTGACAAGTGATGGGACACTATCCAAAGCGAAAAACAAGTATTTTCACTAAATACACCTTTTCTGCCTTGTGTTTTGTGTTACGTTTTGCACTTGCTTCTTTTATGTGTTTTTGATGCATTTTGCAGGTTTTTATTTTTTACATTTTTTTTATTTTTCTTGTTGCTAGGCAATTTAAAATGCATCAAAAACACATCAAAAACCCAATACATGCTTTTCTGCAGCGTTTCCATTGAATTCCCTGAACCTTTCCAAAAAACGCTCCAGGTGAAAACACACAGATGCAAACATATCCCATAGGAAATCATGCTAAATGGACTGTACTGCATTTCTGCAAAATGCAAAATGCTTAGGTGTGAATCTAGGGAAAGGAAAAGTAGGGTCCAAGCTCTTTTGGCCCCTTTTCTCCTGTGGGTCACAGGTGTGAGCTTTGTTCTGCACTCCTGTGACACATTTTCAGCCGATCGAGCGCTTAAGTCTGCTGAGGTCACTTAGCCAGTCCAGACTCTGGAGGGATCCCAACTTTCATGTCAAGATCCACCCAGATGCCTAGCCTGGCAGCTGGCTCAGCCTCTCAGCATACTGCGCCGGCCCCCCTCCACAGCCCAGTGCTCTATTGAGCAATGGAGGGGCAAACCAGAAAGCCAATGATTGACAGTCACCAGCTCTTTGCAGAGTGAAGACTGAAAACTGAGCGATCAGTAGTCTTTGACCACTCAGTTCACGGTCTTAGAAATGGCGGGGACAGATGCAGCATTGGACCAATTCTGCATCCACCAAAGTGAGGATAAATGGTTTTTTGTAGAATCATGAAATTCTCTTTTAGGTATTAATGTTATAGCGATAGTGAACTGCACCAAAAAAAATTGGGCCCTGGGCAGATTATGTCATAATGTGCTAGCATGCACCTCATACTATCACAATATGACAGAGTTACCTGAAAATTAATCCCTCTAGTGGACCACTGTCACCGCTGTAGGTGTTTTTATCTTCACCCGGTCTTCCTTCCAGGTTTACAAGCTTCGGTCAAGCCATAATGATGTCACTCCCGCGCATGCGCTTGTACAGAGTTCTAAATGGTACACCCCATATAGAGCCCAGTGCACATGCTCAGGTGACGTCACTGGCTGCTGCTGCTGTTTAAAATACATATTTCCTAAACGGTGCATGTTTAGGAGATATTTTCTGTACCTATAGGTAAATATAAACTTTGTGAATTTACTACCACTTTGAGGTTGAGTGTCAGCAGGTAATTTTCAGGGATTCAGGTTAAAGGTTAATGTTAGGGTGAAGTTAATGGTTTAGATTATAGTAAGATTAAGTTAGGGGAGATTAAAGTGAAACTTTACCAATTTTTAAGTAGAGGTTCAATAGCTCACAGAGAACCACACATGGAGGCAGAAAAACACAGTAAGAAACAATTTAATAAAAATAGATAACAGGGTCATTAAGCAGTGGATGTGCATAGATTATTTTTGTAGAATAAGGTCATCATTTAGTACCATTTTAAGTCAGACTTTTTAGCTCCTATGGGTAAACTTGTTCCATTTAAGGGACTCAAAGGGGTTGATTTACTAAAGGCAAATAAGCTGTCCGCTTTGCGTGGGAAGTTGGAGTGTGCAAGGCAATTTTCCCCAAACCTTAGAGAATGTGGTGACAATTCACTTTGCAAAGCATCCCCAGTCACATGCAATGAAAATAGAAAAAAATTTAATTTTTTTTCGCTAATGATTGGATGATGGACATTAGTAGAGCTTCACCTCATTCCCCTCTGGGAAAAATCCCACTGCACAATGCAACTTCGCTTCCAAAGTGAACAGTCTATTTGTCTTTAGTAAATCAACCCCTCTTTGTGTCACTCACCTGGAGCAAGCCCTAAGGACTTTCAACTTAAAGTGACACTAAACGATGGCCTTATTCTCCAAAAATATTCCATTCACATCCACTATGTAATGGCCCTGTAATCAATTTTGTATGAAATTTTTTTTACTGTGTTTTTTTGGCTTGTGGTAACATCAGCTATGAGCTCCTGACTCTGTCAATGAATGGTAAATGTGAAAAAACAGAGAATTTTATAGTTAGATATTACAAGTTTTAAAACTATTCTCCGTGTAATTGGTAGATGCTGGAGCAACCAACTAAAATGAGAATAACCAATAAAAGTCAGTAAAGTCAGTAAAGGTATAGAATTAGCTCAGCTTTAGATATCTTTTCTATAAATGTTCTAAGATTTACTTTTTAACCGCTCTTCTGTGGTTAACAATAAAACACCATATAATGGCATATAATCAGTATAATGACATATCAGGCAATCTGGGGATTTGAGGTTCCAGATACAAGTTGTGGCTATTGTCACTTACAAGACAAGTAATGAAAACACAGAATTATTACCTTCTAAAGCCCAGGCAGTTACCCCACCCACCGAAACAATATAACTTCTAATTAACTGCTGCAGAAATGTAAGAAAACAGCTCATCTAGAAGCCTGTTTACTTACCTAATTCCATGTTCATGTGGTGCACTGGGCCCTAAATCTTCTATCTTCTGGACTAGACAGGTCTCCACATTGTTGCCTGGGTGGCATGGACACTTCCCAGTATTCTATCAGGACAACTGGTCTAATGACTTTACTACAAGGAGACGGGTCAGTGGTGGGCACAGATTGCAGAGCTGGATAACCAGTCCACTCCCACAAGAAGCACTGGCAAAGGACATGTTATGGCAGGCTAATGTAAGTCATAAATAGCATTGCAAGCTTTTTTTTTTTTTTGTTCTTATTAGATGGAGTTGAAGGGGGGGTATGGATGAAGTTGGGGGTTAAGAAGTATTAAACCCTTAGCCATTTTTTGGCTTAACACATTGAGCTGCCTACTCAGTAAGATAATACATCAGCTGCTGAAAGTGCCTAAAAATATGACTGTTTAATATCACTTTAATTTTGTCTGGAGATGGAATTTAATGTAATGTCAGCAACCTGAAATAAGTCAAAGTTATAAATAACATATTTCCAGTAACAAAAAAATAAGCAATGGTAAATTGGAAGGAATATACTGTACATGATTGTATTAATGAAGTGCTTACCTTCTTTACTCTGATAGTTCTTACTGAATTTCTGGTTAAAATTCTCAAACTGTGCCTAGAAAGCAAGAAATCAAACTATAGAACATCCAAATAATTTACTATACTAGATCTATATAGGTACGCATACATTCCGAATGCAAACAACATTTTTAGAGAATCAGAATAAGGGAACAACAGAAAACACAGAAAGGAAATATCAATGCAATAAATTACCCGATAAGAGGTCTCAGAGACAACTTCTAGAGAAAGCACTATTATGAAAGATAGAAAACACAAGAGTGCCATCTTATCTAATTAAATCTGTCTAATGCAACTGTGATCACTCCTTTTTATAAGGAATAAAATACGGAACTAAAAGATAACAGGAACAAAAATATATATAGAGAGAGAGACAAAAAAGGAAGTAGGATTATCACCTTTTCTTAAGAATTATTTTCAAAACTATTTTCCCTTCTGGTACCTTTCATCAAAATATATCCAGACAGAAATGAATTATTGGGGTGACAAATGATATGTGTTAATATATTAACCCCCTAAAGGGGTGTTCCCAGCTGCCCCTAAAAAGTGAATGCGACACTTGCAATGAATTAGTGATGAATAGATGGAGCTGTGTTCAAATAGGGTAAGTAGCATAAAGTGTAGGTATGCACCCTATACTCCCCATAGAATAGCTAAATGATGAGTTTTGTGGATGAATACCAATAATTAAATATCAAACAATACATATACCAAACATAAATGAATTAAGAAATATAAAATGATTGGATATTCCCAATTTTATAAAACGTCCTTATGCATCCACCAAATGCTGCATGAATTCAAATTGTGACAGTCCTTCTTGGAAGGACTGAAGACGCCGCCAGGCAAAACATACATCGAAGAAAGCGTGATACCGTCATATCCGGGCTCCAATGATGTCACGTCGGCCATCTTTGATCTAAAATATACAGGCAATACATGCTGGTGGCGGCTTTCCAGGCACAGTGGCGTCCCTAGGGTTGGTGTCACCCAGTGCGGTAACACTTGGTGACACCCTCTCCGACGATCCCCGCAGGATGGATCGGATCTGCGAATTGAGCATAATGGATCGGAGTCCAATCCATTATCCTCCCCAATCCGCAGATCCGATCCATCCTGCGTCGATCATCGGCTTGCAACCTAACTGATCTCTCCGCCAGCTCCTTAGAAAGGTAAGTTTAAAAGCAAGCCCCTCTCTCTCTCTCTGCCTTCTCTCTCTTCTCTCTCTCTGCCCTCTTTCTCCCCCTCTCCCCCCTACCTACTACATGAGGCTGCAGTGCTGTAACCAGGGTCCGGGGATTACACACTGACCTGCTGCATACTCTACCTACCCCTCTAGCTCTCCAACTTCAGCACCCGTGGCAGGGATGTGGACCTGCCCCTCTGCTGAAACTCCGAGGAGGAGAGGTGTCCGAAGTGCCTGCCTCACTGTCTGTCCCCTCAATGCTTCCTTATTTCAAAAGCGGCACATACAGGGACGGACTGAGCCTCTCATGGGGCCCTGTAGTGACCCGGGCCCTCGGGCAGTGCCCAAATGGTCAGTCCGCCCCTGGTGGAGTGGGTCCGGTGTCACCCCATGGAAAAGGTGTCACCCAGTGTGGCGCGCACCCCCCCCCCGCACCTGCCTAGGGACGCCCTGGCCTAGGCACCTTATCATGTGAGTGCATTGAGTTTGTTACTATTCCTACTCTTGGAACATTAAATACTACACTTAGATCATCATTACTGTTGTGGTTTTTTTTTTTAGTAATATCACATTGAAAGCCAGGATTATCTGAATCTCTTCAACTATTATTTGGGGAATATATTGGAAACTATACATCAGTCCCTCTGGCTATCCATCCTGGAAGTGCTGGTATTGGTGATCATATGGGGAGGAACCTACAGTGATTTATAACACACAATGCGATATATGACAACTGTAATGGGGGTCATATAGGTCTGGTGAGTAATCCATTCATTTGCTTTTTGCACTGAGGTGTGGATACATGGATTTCTATGTCACTAAATTTTGAAGTCAAAGAAGGCCTGTCACAACTTGAATTCATGCAGCACTTGGTGGAATCATAAGGACATTTTATAAAATTGGGAATAACCAGTCACTTTATATTTCTTAATTCATTTATGTTTGGTATATGTATTGTTTGATATTTAATATTGGTATTCATCCACAAAACTGAATAGATAGGCACAGCGCCTGTCTATTCATCACTAATTCATCAAAATATATCCACTCTTCCTGGTGCTCAGCCCAAACTACCCCACATCATGCTCCTTGCTCCTGTGGTCTTTTCTAGCAGGGAATAAGTACAAGTATTCTTACTGATGTTATATACTTTATATAATGAATATAACGTCTTTGGTTAGACTGTGAAAGTAGAATCAGCACTGTGATGAGCTCATCTTTCAGTCGCTTTGCTTTCTCTCCCTTTCAGCATGTTTCATCTCAGAACATGAACTGATTGCCTCCTTGTAGTACTTCTTACTCTCACAGACTGCAAACGTACCAGATACCAGGTCAGATTTAGGATCTTTTAAATATACTTTTAATGGTGTATTAATGATTACAGGGATGCATTAAAGTGATATTAAACCCCCCAAAAACTTTTATTACATTGCAGCTTTCCAATTCTTAGATATGATGGCCTCATTAGTTTTCTTTTTGAGGCTTTCTTTCTTCTATTTTCAACTGGTGATCTTGCCAGTAAGTCTGTTGTTTTTTGAAAGCAGAAGCTCTCTTGCAGATGTAACAGTAAAATTGTAAGTTGAGACAAACCATTTACCACTGACAGGGTTACCATGACTGGCTTTTATTTAATTTTGTAAAACCTTTATCTCAAAAGGAAAAACTGTTTGCTGCAACTGCTTATAAAGTCTTAGCTGGAGTTTGTTAGTGTATTTAAATCTGCTAGTACATCTAACACTCTCCTTCCCCCAGACTGACAATGCTGCTGTCCAAATATGCCCCCTGTGCTCCTTTATCCAGAGTTTAGGCACTCTGTATGTAGGCAGGTGCCTATTGTAAAATGTTACTATATTGTTTGTATTGTGATTTCGGTGTTGCTTTACATTTTTTAGCTGATTGCTGCAGGGGCCGGGTTAGGTGTGACTTCTTTCTCTGCAGGGATGTCATAGCCTATCTTTCTGTGATATATATATCTACAGAAGACTGATCCCAGCAAGGAATAGATTTGTAAGGACCACCTGCTGTGTTGTGATTTATCTTCTTTACTATTTCTCCCTCCAATTGGCCCGTTCATCAGGGATCCACGTTCTCTGAACTTCCTAAAGGCAACAATCATCTATGACCAATGTCAAACAAGTGTGATGCCATGTTCTGCAGGGATGGAAGAGGGCTGATGAGAGAAATGTTCTGCAGGGATGGAAGAGGGCTGACAAGAGAAATGTTCTGCAGGGATGGAAGAGGGCTGACAAGAGAAATGTTCTGCAGGGATGGAAGAGGGCTGACAAGAGAAATGTTCTGCAGGGATGGAAGAGGGCTGACAAGAGAAATGTTCTGCAGGGATGGAAGAGGGCTGACAAGAGAAATGTTCTGCAGGGATGGAAGAGGGCTGACAAGAGAAATGTTCTTCAGGGATGGAAGAGGGCTGACAAGAGAAATGTTCTGCAGGGATGGAAGAGGGCTGACAAGAGAAATGTTTTGCAGGGATGGAAGAGGGCTGACAAGAGAAATGTTCTACAGGGATGGAAGAGGGCTGACAAGAGAAATGTTCTACAGGGATGGAAGAGGGCTGACGAGAAATGTTCTACAGGGACGGAAGAGGGCTGACAAGAGAAATGTTCTACAGGGATGGAAGAGGGCTGACAAGAGAAATGTTCTACAGGGATGGAAGAGGGCTGACGAGAAATGTTCTACAGGGATGGAAGAGGGCTGACGAGAGAATGTTCTACAGGGATGGAAGAGGGCTGACAAGAGAAAGGTTCTACAGGGACGGAAGAGGGCTGACAAAAGAAATATTCTACAGGGACGGAAGAGGGCTGACAGGAGAAATGTTCTGCAGGGATGGAAGAGGGCTGACAGGAGAAATGTTCTGCAGGGACGGAAGAGGGCTGACAGGAGAAATGTTCTACAGGGACGGAAGAGGGCTGACAGGAGAAATGTTCTACAGGGACGGAAGAGGGCTGACAAGAGAAATGTTCTACAGGGATGGAAGAGGGCTGACAAGAGAAATGTTCTACAGGGATGGAAGAGGGCTGACAGGAGTTATGTTCTGCAGGGATGGGAGAGGGGTGATAGATCATAATGTCCTCAACCTATCACACTTAGCCCCCTCAAAGTGTGCAAATGAGAATGTGCATTGAAGGACAGTATTTACACAGAGGGGGGCAATATGTACAGGGGAATGGAGCAGTGTATGCGGGGAGGAGGCATTGTGTATGGAGGGGGACAATGCATGCAGGTGAAAAAGGAGTGTAGGAGAAAAGGGGAGCAGTGTTTACAGAGGAAAAGGGGATAGTGTTTACATGATTGAGCAGGATCTCTTCAGGGGAAAATGGGGGCAGGGTGTAAGAGAGGCAGTGTGTGAATTTAATTTGCTCTAAATCCCAGGCTTCTTCATTGTTTCTAATCAGAATTTTTTAAGCCATGGCCAATATTCATTTATAACATAACCACACCCAGGTTTCAGCGTGAGGCGCTATGCGCACCACAAGTAAGAGGTTCTCAATTTTAGAACTTAAGAATGAAGAACACTTTAGAGAACCTCTGACTTGTGGTGCGCATAGCGCCTCATGCTAAAAGCTGGGTGTGGTTATGTTATAAAGGAATATTGACCATGGCTGTTTCATTGGCAGGGCAATCCTCTAGTATCTCATTTGACCCAGAGTGCAGCATGAGTGCCTTCTGCAGCCAGTCAGTGACCCCAATGATGGGGCACTATTCCTCCCACACTGACACTAATGATGGAGCACTATTACTCCCACACTGACACTAATGATGGGGCACTATTCCTCCCACACTGACACTAATGATGGGGCACTATTCCTCCCACTGACACTAATGATGGGGCACTATTCCTCCCACACTGACACTAATGATGGGGCACTATTACTCCCACACTGACACTAATGATGGGGCACTATTCCTCCCACTGACACCAGTGATAGGGCACTATTCCTCCCACTGACACCAATGATAGGACACTATTCCTCCCACTGACACCAATGATGGGGTACTATTCCTCCCACACTGACACTAATGAAGGGGCACTATTACTCCCACTGACACCAATGATGCTTACATA